CTCTACCCCTAGTGACCGTCATTTAGAGCACCACCCTACCCCTTGCAGAACAAACCGTGGACCTTACTGTGGTCAAGACCACCCACCCATTAGTAACATCCGGGTTGCTGCCCCACCCTGTAGGTCTTCACCTAACCTTAACGGCCGATCCTCTATTGGGTCTTCTGATAGATCAATCTCTTATGATTCCCCACTTGGACCCACTTCTAGCAATCCCAATCAACCTTTAGCCTCCCCAGTCCCTGACCCTGCGAGTGTAAGTTTAATAAAGAAATGCATTAAAAAAAAGAGGTCCCCTGAACCTGAGACTGAGTGCATCCATTTCGTGAATGCTAATGATATCACTAATAACGAAGAATTCTTTGAGGATGAAACTGAAGAGATTGAATTAGAATCCCTGCCCGACTTAAATCCTAATTTAGGAGAGCTAGAATCCTTAAACCTTGATAACTTAGGCCATCCTGATCCTAACCTCATCATAGATATCCCTTTGGATAAGGTCTGTCTGGACGATATTAATTTGATCCCGAAAGAAACTGATCTGACCTTGAACACACTGAAATTAAAATCAGAAGATTCTAATTCAATTACTGAGATGACTCCGAATAATTTTGATTTAATTTTGGATAATTCTAATTTAATTTTGGATAATTCTGATGGCGGCTTAGATAATCTCGAGTTGGAAGTAAGTCAATCGAATTTATCACCTGATTTAAGTGAAACGGAACCCATGGATCTTAGGGTTGCAACCAAACCCGAGTCTCTTTCGGAAGATGGTACTTTGAGTCTGAAAGTTTTTGAGCCTGATTTGAGCAATGAGCCCCCTCTTGTTTCATTAGAGTCTAACTTTATTAGAGCTGCTCAATTGGATTTATATTTGGCCGAGTGTGTCATTCCTGATTCATACATTTTGCCTGTTATAGCCTCGTCCTACCAGGATAAAGACCACTTCTATCCTAGTTGGATGAATTTATTAGATGACACTACCCCCATTAGGAGACTGCTGTCGACCATAACTGAAACCACATATAGAAGTGCCCTGGTAGCTAAGAGTTTCTTCATTCCTCCCCCTACACCAATCCCCTTAGACCGAATACTTTAGACCCCTCTTTTTGTGACTCGTCCACCTTTTCTAGCTATGTATTCGTGTTAGTTAGTATGCTTTGTGTGTGTGTGTTTGTAGTCTGTTGTCTTCCAAGTTATTTCTGTTTAAAACTTTTGTGTGAGCCCTGATTCTTGTCATTTGTCATGCATACCGGTTCTTTTGTATATGCATTTGCATCTCATCTCCAGGAGCTTTATAAAGAAATTAAAAGAAGAATTGAACAACGTAACTCCAATTATAAGCTTATTTCAGATCACAAGAAAAGTTTTAAAGAATTCGAGGTTAGAAACTTTGTGATGGTACAGATCCCTCCGTGAAGAAGTTGCGTGCTAGAAGCGCCGGACCCTTTAGGATAATTTCAAAGGTAAATAGCAATGCTTATGTGCTGGACCTTCCTAAAGGTTTTAACATCAATCCTACATTTAATATAGAAGATCTAGTAATCTTTGAGGGACCAGAGCTGAACCCTAATAATCCACTTCAAATTGAACCTTGTGAGAACCCACCCAGTGAGATCCCCAGCCTACCTTCACTCCCCAAATTACCCCATTTACCCATTGCGGAGAAGGTCGAAGCTATACTTGACGATGAAATCATTTCCATGAATGAAGGCGGGCACCACAGGTACTTGGTTCATTGGAAAGGGAAGCCGGTGACTGAGGATACATGGATTGATCAAGAGAAGTTACAGAGATTGGATCCAAATCTTTTAGAGATGTACGAGAGCTCCAGAGATTTTCACTCGACGGGGTCGAGCTTTCTCCCACCTGGGGAGAATGTGAGGACATCGATCCAAGGTTCAAACATGTGTATCGCCGAAAGCATCGCAGATCGATGGCCACAATTCAGAGCTTATATTTATAGTTGTTTATGCATTTTATTTTATGTTTTCCTATTGTACCCTTATGTTGAGTTGAGTCATGTTGGGGCTCTGAGGGCAATTTAGTCTTTATTTCTTCATGTATGCTTGAGACCTATATATATGTGTCTTTTCTCTTGTACTAGGTAATGAATGAATATTATGAGTGAAAATTTGTTTTGAATATCTTGTCTTCTTCTTCTTCTTGTGGAGAGTTAGAGAGGAGAACGAGAGCCCAGGGTGAGGGCGAAAAGCAATACCCACCAGTCATTGGAAGAGTCCGTGGCTCATGGTCTATCCCCAACATTCGATCCCCCTTCTCCCTCAACCCGCTGGCCTTAGCTTCCTCTTGGCCGCCGGCCACCCCAACACCATCATTCGTCCGTGAACCTTTCAACCATCGACCTCATCTCCCATTTCCCTCGACTTCAAATTTTGAATTTTCAAAATCTTTCTAATTTTGGAATTTCCAAATTAGGAAAGTTTTAAATCCGTTTTCATTACGAAATTCAACCATTAAAAGAGGAGCATAATATTAAGTTTAGTGTTGCAGAGATGAGGATGCTCAAGTGGATGAGTTGCTTTAATCTTAGAGCGCATACGAAACAAGCATATATATGAAAAGGTTGGAGTAGCTCCAATGGAAGATAAGATTATAGAGAGTCGATTTAGATGGTTTGGTCACATAAAACGGAGGCCTTTTGATGACATGGTTAAGATAGTAGATGTATTAGATTTAGCTTATGTTAAGAAAAGTAGAGGTGGATCTAAAAAGATTTGATTAGAAAATATTAGAAATGACATTTCTTTATTAGATTTAAATGAGAATTTGACCCTTAACAGGACACAATGGAAAAAAATGATTCATGTAGCCGATCCCACGTAGTTGGAGAACAGCTTGTTGTTATTGTTGTTGTTGCTGCTGCTTCATCTCATTTTGAAGTTTAATGGTTGTCACTTGCTTAAAATCAAACTAAGTTGTCGTATGGAGATACAAATCAATGGAAAATATGAAGTTAAAGGCATCATGGAAAGCATTTTGCCTTTTTTTGGGAGGCCATTGTACTAGTCCTAATATGCTCCCATATCGGAGACTTGAATTTTGAATTTGCTAAAGGGCTCACATTCTTTTTGCTCTTTCCTCCAGTCCCACCACTTCTGCTAGGGGAGTTTTTTTTGGTAGAAAAATTTTCCCTCATCTATTTTATTTTATTTTTTATGTTGTTCAAAGTTAACTTTTCTTGGATGGAAAATCTTAGTATCTTGCATAAATGTGATAACCAAAAGTCAAGGCAATTGGAACGCCATGGTGGCATGATCAACCTTACGAACATTTATCATTCTTTCTAAGAATCTCTACTAATGTCACCCTATCTTAATCATATTTCTTTGTATATCATCCAATTCTCTAGTATTACTAGTACCATTCTAGCCTATTAACCCTCGTTGTTGTGCCACCTTATTAATTGGTGTTGATCTAAAATAAAAAAGTAAACTCATGATGAATATTCTCTTATATTTTAAGAAAATAATCTTTAGATTATGATAGGAAATACTTGAGTTCGCAAGTAATCCAAGAAGAAATACTTGAGTTCACTAGCAAACCTATCAATAATCAGTGAAACAATGAGAAATCTCATGATTTCAAAGAGAAATCAGCAATATGATGCATAATGTTTAGGAAATTGGAGAGTAAAACTAAGGAAAATAACTTCTATTCAATCCACGAATAAGAACAACAAAACAAGATACAAGTTTCTTCAATTTGAGAGGAAGAAAAAACTCTTCAAATCTCTAGCAAAGCCTAGATCCCAAAAGAACCAAACCCTATATCTCAAAATTTAGCCAATCTCAAGATGAAGCCCTAACCCTCTCCAAAAGAGCTAATTAAAGACAAAGGGCAATTACAAATTTCCTAAATAGCCTCCTAATTCAAAATTTCATCCCAAGCAATTTTAATTAGCATGTGGGCCCCTAGCATTAGCCGCCCCCTCCCTTTCTCCCTTCCCTGGTTCCGCCCAATAATCGGGTCACCTGGTGTTGGTTAAAACTAGTCCAGTAGGGACCGGTTCAACCGGCCCAGGAGGAGCCGACCTAACAGATTACCTATGGAATTATCCATTAAGACAAGAATAAATTATATTTTAATACAAGTTAATGACATTATATTATCATACCAAATTTATTATACAGTGAAATAAAAAATAATTTTGATATACTCCATATGCTTGCTTATACGTTAGAATTTTCTTCCTCAAAAGATGGCCTAAGGTTATCACCTATTCTTACATGTGTCCAATACAATGTACTTCATCATTACGGAGTGTCAATGCATCATAGATGAGTATACAAATTGGCATTCTAGATGATCCAGTTGGGTTAACGGGTTTGGAAATAGCTTGGAAAATAGTTAGTGTTTAAGATATCATGATTTAATACTATGTATTGTAAGTTTTCTTAAGGGTGACTCATATATGGTTAAAAATACCAAGGCTTTGTTTGTTCGTTTATACTGTTGCTTCTGTAGAAAGTTGCTTCCAGAAGCACAAATTTTTGTGGGACCGCTGCTTTTGAAAGCATTTTTTGTCCTTTGCTTTCCATAATGCAGGCAAAAATCATATACCCAAACACATCATAAAAATATTGCACCTGCTTTTCTCGAAGCAAACTGCTAAGAAACACAAAAAAAAAAAAATCCTAAGTTATATATTAGCAAGGATTAAAGGAATTAAATGATATGTTAGAATTTTAGAAGAATTGACTAGTATTTGAGTAAAATTAAATATTTTTAGTAGTATAGTAGTGAAAATCTATTCCTTTTTAATTTTTGCTCGCATGAGCCAATCACACAATTTTGACATCTTAGGTTTTTCAAGTTGTTTAATGTTTAATACTGTGACGTGTAGCATTTATATATTAGGTCGATGTTGTTAAATAAAATCATCTTATGCTTAGGCATCAATGGAACCCTCTCCATCAAATTATGGATTCCAATGTCATTTTAGGACTTAACAAATTTTTGGTGGTCTTTTTCAGGGAAGAACTGCCTTATGGGATGCTATTTTGCTACTCTGTCATAGGATTAAGGTTGGTTATGACGGGGTAGTTCGAGGAGTTCATCTTGGTTCGTCAGCTTTCAACATTCTCCCAATTCTTGATTCAGAAACTGATAGCTGAAGTACTTGCTGTTGAATTATAAGGCCTGTCTTCCTCTCTTTAGTTATCTATGCATTGTGCAGCATTTTCATGTAGAATATCTTTCAGCATTAGAGTAAGTACAAAACTTTTGAACTTTTGCTTCAGTTTTATAAATGTTATTAATTTGAGTTTCTATATAAAATTATAATTGCTTGACTTGGATGGCCTCAAATCATTTTATTCGAAGTCTTAGTTATTTGAAATGTTACAAAGCATGCTTCACTATTCTAATTCAACTGAGATAATTAATTGCTATGTAACAGATTATTTGAAATATTAGTCTTTTTATATTAAAATATTCTAACAAATTTTTTCTCCAATTATTTATGTTGGTCCTAAGGATGGATCATTGTTTAAAGTTGTGCGATATGAGGCTTGTTTTGAAGCCCACCTCAATTCAATTCCAATGAAAACGTCTTGAGGTTTATGTCTTGAGTTTTTTTATGAGGCGCGTCTATTAAAACTTACCTAAATCCAACTAAAGCTTTGAACAAATTATGCCTTCATACACCCTCGAGTCACAGGAACTTCCTCTCAAATGCCTCGACCTCTAGCAAGCTGCCATCGTCGTAGCCGCCACTGTCATAGTTGTCGCTAGGGATCACTTGAAAACTGCACACTGCCATCACCTTCTCTATTTCAAAATTTTGGAGTATTAATTTCATCTTTATGTCGATGAGAAATATTTACGAAAGAGTAAGATAACTAAAATAAAGAGAAACTAATCAAAATGGTTCATTGACTCTTTATAAATGATCAAAATGATATCCAACTATAATAAATGACTATTTTGATCCCTCAACTCTTTAAAGCGAAATCAAAATAATCACATGTTGGGATTATTTTTGTTCCTCTTTACAGAGTCGAGGATCAAGTATCCTTTCATATAGTTGGGGACTATTTTGCTTTCATAAAGAGTCAATGGATTATTTTGGTCATTTTTGCCTGAACTAAATGAAAAAGCAGATTGTGAGGCATTGGATTCCATAGGATGAGGTAGGAGAGAGACAAATTTGTTATGAAGATGACTCAAATAAAGACTTACTTTGTGATGACAGCGTAGATGATATATGAGTCGGCAACTATTTCAATTTTTTTAGAAATTAAACGCCAATGAGTAGGGAATTGAAAAAGAAGAAATTTGGACTTGGACTTGATTTTATATGATACTTTATGCAATTCTTATATTTAATATTTTTTTTTGTTCTTGTAATATTTAGATTTTAATTTTATTTCACATAATTTATCATGTATCATTTAATGTCTTGTGCAATTATATAGATATATTGCTTCACGGTTCGAATAGAAAGTTAATATGTCATTTTTAACATATTATTTATGAATTATTAAAAAATCATTTTAATCATTTATTTTTTACTTGACGTAATTTTTTTTTTTTTTGAGGTTTATGCCTTGCCTCACGAATAAAAAAATATCTTAATACCCAATTACACAATTTTAAACTTTGGTACGGATGAATAAAGTCGGGTTATTTTTAAAACTATCAATTTATGCCCCAATTAAGAAAAAAGTTGGGCTCGACTTATTGTGCTTAGCATGTGTTGAGCTGATGAAAATAGGAAGTATTTGGATGCATCAAAGAAGTTGGGCCATCACCAATATGAGAGCTTCAATGTGAGGTGGAAATTATGAGGTGGAAGATATGACTTTTTGCTTGCTTGTTTAGGCGGCTTAGGTAGACTCTATTTAGCTATATTGCTTGGCCAAATTTTACTTAATTACATAATCTTTTTCATTACATCATTACATCATTTCATCACCTAATCACATCAATGAAACCAAATTACAATAACATAAAAACAAAAATGGAAAAAAAATCTAAAAGCCTATAAAGTATGCTGCATCATAGTGACTGATAATTATGTTGATTTAGTTTTCGTTTGTGATAGTTTTCTTGCTGATTTATAAAATAATTTTTTACTATAAAATTTTATAATTCAAAAAATTTTTATACTAAAAAATTATTTAAAAAAAATATAAAAAAACTATCCCAAATGATACCTTAGTGAGGTGGCAATTATAATGGGGAAAATGTGACTTTTAGCTTGCTTGTTTAGGCGGCTTAGGTAGATTGTATTTAGCTATTGATTGGCCAAATTTTCCATAAATACATAATTATTTTATTACATCATTTTATCACCTAATCATATCAATCAAACCAAAGTACAACATAAAACAAAATAGAAAAAAAAAATCTGAAAGACCATAGAGTATGCTACATCATAGAGTAGTGTGATGGGATCCGCTCTTAATTATGGGTGTCAAAATAGATTTTCAGGTTGGATTCGGGTCCAACCTTAAATTGACCAATCCTCAATTGATACAACTCGTACCTGATCTGATTACGCAAAGGGTTAAAAAATTTAAACCCAGACTTAACCCGCCCCAAACCCGGGTCAACCCGGCCTGTACACTGACTTGCGCCAGCATAGAGCAAGCGAGCGTCTAGCACTTGTCGTGGATGCGACTGCGAGCGGGCGTGGGTGTGAGGCTACCAGCAAGAGCACAGGGGGCAAGGGAGAGGCAGGTCGTAGGCGAGTCGCGAGCATGATGCCATGCTGGCGGGGCTTCGGGATGCGCAGGACTGCATGCGGGTCATTTTTGGGCTGACCCATACACTACCCAATTTTTCAAACGGGCCAGAAATTAGAATCTGAACGGATCAACCTAAAACTGGATTTTCCATATCTATTTTGCAGATCGTGTCAAAAATTGACACACCTACTCTCAAACATCGATGGTGTTTACTTTCTCCAAACAGGCTTATAGTTATAACGAGCGATTGAACTAAAAACCTGCTTTGCTGTCTTGGATATTTACTAGGACCGATAGCAATTCTCGACTGAACATATTAACTGAATGGATCATCCAAGCTGAATCTGCCATGATTGCTCAAGTAAGTTTTTTCTATCTTGAATGTCTTTGATCTCTAATGTAAAACAATTCTATGACTTTCATTTAGGGTAAATTTTTAAAATAGATACGATTTAAAAAAATAATACTAAATTAAATTTCGGGAAAAAAATAAAAAGAGACTAGCAAGTTCCGGTTAAACTGGCGATTTGTTACTAATTAAAATAATTCAAAATTTGAATGCACAGTTTTTGTATAAAGTTCTTAGAATTTGAACTACACAGTTTTTTAGTAGCTTGAATAGGAAATTAATTATCTTTTAAAACTTCTGAGGTTTAGTTAAGTATTATTTAGTCCTTCGAGATTTGATAAAACATCAAATATCACTATGGAATTTGTTTATCATTAATAAATCTTATTACAAAAAGTAGTGTCATCATTAATTAAAAAATCTTAAATCTAAGTTGCACATAAATCTGCACGCACGTAGCAGTCTTCCTAAGGAGAGATTATTTTGTGCGGAGCCCGAACGCAAGATGCGTCGCGTCAGGATTTTGTAAGAGTATATAGCAAATACATAGTAAATACACAATTTTGTAAGGAATTTTGTATTACTGTGTATCCTCACAAGTTCGAACAGTCTGGACTCTACACGTAATAATTACTCTAATATATAATTATTTCAAATAATTTGTAAGTTTTATTTTATTCATAAAATTTTTAATTACAAACATGCTTCAATTATCAAATTATGTTCTAAATTATTAGCATATAACTTTCAATAATAATGATTTTATTAATAAATTAATAAAAATGAAGTCATTCAATTTCTGGACTTGCAAATTTTTTTTTTCTAAATAGGTTTGAATTTTTAGGCATATTTACTTTTAAAAACTAAATTAAATTTGAATAAAATGTACTATTTATGAATATTTATGATTATATACACATGAAATAGTTGTTTTGTTTAAACTCTGGGTTATGTGTGTTAGTAGGTTTACAAATCTTTTTTGTTAAATTAAAAATGGAAGTACCACATCTATTTTAAAATTTTGAAGTAGAACTAAATAGATTTCTGAAATAATTTAACTAAAAAAAATATTTAGTTACTGTAGGAAATAGTTGATTGGACTGGCATCAATAGCAAGTCGTCCATTAAACAGACGACTTTAATTATTTTTAATTTTTTTAAGTAATTTATTTTTACAAAATTATTTATTGTAAAATTTTGTCCTTTGATTTACTAATAAAGAATGGGAAGGCAAATCACCTAAGTATTGAGTTTTACTTTTATAATATATCAATATGCGAAGCAATTGTAACCAAGTATCACGTTATAATTGTCTCTAAACATGCTAGTCATTTTACTCTTGGTGTAGTTTTGAATCAGGCTAGTTTTGGATGTTGTTTATTTATTACTATTGAGTCCTGGAATATTTATAGCAGTAGAGAAATATAAAATCTAGTGTCCTAATTTTATATAAAGATCTAGGACACAAATAGATGAAAGATTGAATAGCATTAACAAGGGATACTTGAGTTTTTACGTTGAAACACCTGAAAAGTGGGAAAATCACAAAGTCCTTCCTAGTTTAAATATACCCACTAGTGTTTCCAGTTGATTACAAATGAGGCCCTTCCTTAGGGTGAAGGCCTTATTCGATGTAGTAAATATACATCATATAAAGTGAATTACGTGGTGGGAGTTGGAAGACAAAGTGTTTGCATGTTTGTTTAGTCGGCAAGACCATTGCCAGCGAACCATGTAGGTTGGAAGTACAATAGTCGGGCAACGGTTGTCAGAATGATCGTAGTTGGGTGACAGAGGTTATAAAAATCGTAGTCGAGTGATAGTAGTCGGAAGGACCATATGGGGTCATAGAGGTCGGAAAGATCGTAGTCAGGCAATGGTGGTCGGAAGGATCGTAGTCGGCCGACGGAGGTTGGAAAGATCGTAGTCGGGTGATGGGGGTTGGAAGGATCATAGTTAGTAGGAGATGGAGGTCGAAAAGACCACAGTCAATCTACGGCGGTTAGAATGACCATAGTCAGCAGGCGACGGAAATCGAAAAAATCGTTGTTAGGACATGATGGTCGGAAGGACCATAGTTGGGACGATGGTTGGAAGGGTCGTAGTTGACGGGCGATGATATTTTATTTTATGGATATTTTGTGTAATTTTTAAAGGACTAAAATGATCTATTAGAATTTTATATTAAAGAAATTATTTTAATTATATTACTATATTAAATAATTATATTATATTTTATTCAAAAATATCT